GCTGTAAATTTTTGTAGCCGAAAAACTGAATATCCAGGGGAACAAGATGTTACCAACGTTTAAAAATTTATTCGATATTTAATGTCATCAGAAGAAGAGGGAATTTTCTATAAAAGACAAAGCAATGAAGATAAGTTAGTGGCATATAGTGACTCTGATTTTGTAGTGAATACGACAACTAGAAGAAGCACAACTGGGTATATTATATTGTTCTGTTGTGGCCCAATCAGCTGGTGTTCCAGAAGACAGCCCACAGTATCTTTTTCGTCTACTGAAGCCGAATACATAGCAGCTGCTGAGTGTGTAAAGGAGTTGTTGTATATAAAAAGTGTAATAGATGAACTTACTAATAATCAGATTGAGATTGAATTTTATGTGGATAATCAGAGTGCCATCATATTGATTAAAACGGGACAATAAACAGCTACTCATTTGAACACATTTTCAAAATTAACAAAGCACGTCCTAGAACATGTTTTAAGTGAAACATGAGATAAAATTAACAGACAGAAGGAGATCATATTCGCTAGGGTTTGTTGGAACTTCCAAAGAAATATTAATTTGTACATTGAAGAGGCAGGACAACATTTTTTAATATTTTTTGTAAAGGTACCTAGTACCTAAATTCAAATTATTACAATAACAAAAGTAATGTCGAAAAGGTATTATTAAATCAATTTTAGGTTATTATTTTAAGGTCAGTTTAGGCCCTTTGGTATTGGAGGGTATGCATCAAATTAAGATCTTGAATACAAAAGAATACTAGTGAGTGTGCAAAATTTAAATAAAATTCGTGCGTTTGCAAACGAGTTATTAGAAAGCATTATCTAATTACAATTTTTTTTATTGACATCTTTTCCATATATATTAAAAGCTGTAGGTTACTCTCGCTCTCACAGTCGGCCGCGAAAAGAGGCGTACGGTATTATCAAAGGCTTTCCTCGCGAGTCGCGCAGCGACGAGCCAATGGGCCTAAAGGGCCCCTCGGTCCTTTATCCAAACGTCGTATCAGAGAACACTATACCAACGAGAAGCGACAGCAAGGCTTTCTGCTTTAACAGTTTTGGGTTGTGTTGTTGTCAGTTGTCAGTGGCTGTCAGAGCCGCCAAATATAAATAGAAGAAACGAGTATAGTTATTTACGTTACAAGGCCGGGAAATGGTATATTAAAGTACAAGTCTAGATGTTTACGGACGAGGCGACGAAGGAGCCGAGTCAGGAATTTCTAGACGAGTACTTTAATGACATTTCACGGCCGTGTATCGTACAACGTTTTTTTTATACTGTGTTGTATTAAAAATGAAATTTTAAGGTTTTATTTTACATAACCTGCCTGTATGTAGGTGTTAGCGTGGTTTCGATTCTTGTTTTATCGCATAGCTTTTGATTTACCTTAGTGATGTAAAAATAAAAATAACGAATTTGACAGTTTGTCATCCCGTGCGTATTTTGTGATAATTTTCGTAAAAAATGGAAGAAATCGAGCTAAAATGTGCTGAAGCAACCAGTAAATTGGTGCCTACGAAGTCTTCTGCTCGTTATGAGAAGGAATACCAGCTCTTCAACGTGTGGAGAAAAACCTATAAGGTGGAAAACGACCTGAATGAGAATATCCTATTGGCGTACTTCTTGGATATCTCCAAAAAGATGAATCCTGCGACAATGCGGGCAAAATATTCGATGCTCAAGTCTATGCTGATGGTAAAAGAAGGTGATATTTGAAAATATCCAAAATTATTCTTCTTCTTCTTCTTCTTCTTCTTCTTCTTCTTCTTATTGTTATTCTTATTCTTCTTCTTCTTCTTCTTCTTATTCTTCTTATTCTTCTTATTCTTCTTATTCTTCTTATTCTTCTTATTCTTATTATTCTTCTTATTCTTCTTATTCTTCTTATTCTTCTTATTCTTCTTATTCTTCTTATTCTTCTTATTCTTCTTATTCTTCTTATTCTTCTTATTCTTCTTATTCTTCTTATTCTTCTTATTCTTCTTATTCTTCTTATTCTTCTTATTCTTCTTATTCTTCTTATTCTTCTTATTCTTCTTATTCTTCTTATTCTTCTTATTCTTCTTATTCTTCTTATTCTTCTTATTCTTCTTATTCTTCTTATTCTTCTTATTCTTCTTATTCTTCTNATTGTTATTGTTATTATTATTATTAATTATTATTATAGTATCTACCTGTAAACTGTAAATCAGAAAAAAGTATTTCGGTTTTTAAAATAATGTGGTATGTTTTCTTGTAATATAGTATTACATAAGCATAGAGAATATCTTTAGAATTTTTATTTTTGTTTGCAGTGCTCGAGTGTGGATAGAAATTTGCAATAGTCTCGATTTACTGCCAAAGATTGTGAATGTATACAGGGTGGTCCGAATTTTATGCAAGAAACTTCGAGGGTAGATAGATCTCTTTAAAATAATATGTGTTTGCCTTATAAACATAGGTCTGGAACGGCCCCGTTTTAGAGATACAACAGGGTGTTGAGGTTTAAAAAAAAATGTTTTTTTGTTTATATCACACACTACCTCACAGGTGGTGTAGAAAGGAGTGTAAATAATTTTGTTAATGTGCTTACAAATTGCACTTACTTTTAAACATAAACAAATATTTTTGTAATATTATCGTTAGAAGTGTCTGCCACAAGGGGATTGTATTGGTATGAATAACTTGAGAACGGCGAATCTTAGGGAAAAAATTAAGGTCACCTTTTTTACGTATTTTGTGCATTAAAATATAAATCAGTTACGATGACATGTAAAAAATGCAGTGGCGTAGGTTTTTTTGGAAAAAAGGGGGTGACCCCTGTCCAATTGTACACCACTGGTTGAATCTTTAAAGCTCATATTTCAGGGAATATAAGGACTACTATCATACATTATATGTACCAAATTTTATTGAAATCGGTTAAGGGCCTCATATTCTTTAAATTGTGTTTTCCGCAAAGACAAATAATTTCAAACATTTAATAACTGAATAATCTAAAGCTTATCAGATAATAGGTATGTTGTCATGCCATCTGGTTATTTTCAAAGACGCCGCAATAAAACGAATAAACAGGTGCAAAAAACGATCAAACCATCAAGGTTTTAGGTACTGAAATCTACGAAAATACTAACTTTTTTATATATAATTCCACATGTAAATATTCTTATAACATTTACTTGCTTAGTCCTACATATAAAATTGTTTACTTTTATTTATAAGTACGTGAAAATAATTCTTAAAATGTGGGGTTAGAATAACAGCAAACGCATGTTTTACATACGCTTTTTTTTAGTTATTATTTTATTTGAGTAAATTTAAATGGTAACAATGAATAAACAAAACATTAAGGATTTTATTTCTGTGCTTACTTTTGTTCTACACGTTTTACTTTTAAAGATTTCAGTACCTAAAAACGCCAGAAATTTCACTATTTCTCGGCCAGGAATGTGGCCACCTTAATAGATTCCGGAGATATAAACAAAAAATCAATTTTTTTTTGACAACTTCAACACCCTGTATCTCTAAAACGGTGCCGTTCCAGACCTATGTTTATAAGGCAAACATATATTATTTTAAAGAGATCTATCTTCCCTTGAAGTTTCCTGCATAAAATTCGGACCACCCTGTATAAGAATTATAGGCTTTGTGGACACCATTTCGAAACCAAATATATTGGTAAAGGGAATGTAAAAATAACCTTATTGCCAAACGGAATACATATACCGTTTCCTCAACTTAGAAATGGGCAAGAAGAGCTAGAGGCAAAAATTATGGAAGATTGTCCCAAAGAAGTTATTGCATTGTCAGGTACCTATTTTTAAAAAACTATTTCAAATATTGCAAAAAAATATATCTGTTTAATAAAAATATTAGTTGTAAAACATCGTGTTTTATTTTTTTTATATATTATACCTAATTTTTCTACATTTTACCACAGTTATCCTTGTATTATATGAACAATGTTTGATGCTGATGCTGTTCGTTCAGTGTACATCTATTCGAAAGTGTAACTTCTCTCAGTGTAAACGATTGTGTTTCCGTCAAATCGGTCGACTCTAGCGTGACCACAAAACATCAAAGGAGCCGCCGATTCTGTCGCTTCTCGTTGGTATAGTGTTCTCTGGTCGTCTTCTGAAGGCGATCTGTTCGCGCCTTCTATGTGAAATTTTCACTTTAAAAAGAGTCCTCGCCGAAAATTGACTTTTTTCGGTGGGAGTGAGATACCCGAAGTATATCGTTACCACCGAGATAGGATCTATCTCGGTGGTAACGAGTATATCCGATATTTAAACAGAGATGGAGACAGACGTCAGTGAAGACGTCAAAATAAATTTTGTCATTTGACGCGTTTTCCCGGACGATCTGGCCACGGTGAGTCGTTACATTGCTGTAAGGCATCGGTTCCAATCATTTAGAGACGCAACTGTGGCGACAAAACTTGATTGAACATTTTCAATTTTCTGTTTACATTCGCGGAGAGCCAACGGTTCAAATAGCCCGTGCAGGCTCCACCCAGCATTAGATCGCCGTAGATCATTTTGTAAACTCAAGACTGCGAAGCCGAAGGTCCAAGATTCGAATCGCGGCCGGGTCGCATTTTTTTTTTTTGGGAAAATTTTATATATTTACCAGTCCACAGAGAAAGCACCGTGGAACAGTGCTCGAGTCGCACGCAGCGCGGCCCTAGGGCCGAAGGCCCGAGAGAAAGGTCAAACTTCGCTGACGCGAAGTTTGCCTGCCTTTCTAGTAATTTTATTATAAGACGTGGGATAAATTTTTCACGTAGGATTACCTCCCAGACACATCATTTTATCTTCAATGATTTTTAAGTAATTGATCAGCAATTGTATTTCATGTCTAATCTTTGAAGGATTTTTTATACTTATAGGAGTATAACACATTTTTATTGTAATTTCCATTCCCCATAAGTAATTAATATAAACAATAATTAAATGCAACTCAAAGTTTATAGTTCTTCATTCACCTGCAAAATTGTGAATTATTATTTTTAGAAAATTTCGAACAAAAAGGATGAGCAGTTTATAAAATATGGATTATATGCATATAGTGAAGGAACACTTACCACAAAGGTTAGAAGTATGCGTTTTGATGGAATTCCAGTATTATTTATACCTGGTAATAGAGGATCATATAAACAAGGTATTCATATTCATTAATGACCTATATGGACCCCGAATACTGGTTCAATTGTAAAGGATGTAATGAACATCTAGGGCTTATACAGGGCAAAGGGCTACAAACTGAGGCTCTGATATTTGTTGTTACATCTTTTATTATATCTACAACCAGTAGAACATACTCTATACTCGGTTTCTGTTAGATAATGATTATAATAAAACATATTGACAATTTTTAATAAGAATGGTATAACTTCAGTTCTAATTTTTAGTTTTTATGTTCCCAATTTTGTCCTTTTGAACAAAAATCTGAAATAAATCAAATATGTTTTAAGTATGTAGGTACTTTAAAGAAAACATACAAATAATGTTGAATTAGTATTTTTAATAATCAGTAATTAAGTTGTAATTATGTTGAAAGTATTCAAAGGGTGTAGCCGGGTAAGTATAGTGTTGAGTACTTATTTAAATTTAAAAACAATTGTACTTTGTTTGACAGTATTGACAGTTGTGCTTGATATATGAATAGTATTCTTTGTCATTCATAAAATAAAAATAAAGTTGTTATTTCATGTACCTAACAAGTAGTTAATTAAAAGAAGGAACCTGAATAATATACATATAGGTAAATTGACCCCCAAAGCTTTTGGATCAAATTCAGTGTTGATAAATAAACCTGAAAAAAGTAATTCCTTTTTCTTATTCATAACAGTAAACTTCCAGAAATGTACTATTTAAATTTTTGTAAAAAAATAATATAATTGTAGATTTTGGTTATTTATATTTTATGGAAAAATATTGACTAGCATTTGATTTTTAAAAAAGTATGTAAGGAATAAAAATTTATTTACCCCATAATAATCATTTGCATACGCCATAGAAATTAGTAAAACAACATCTGTATCTGTAGTTTGTTAGCAACTCTTTTTTAATTTTTAGAATTGGTCACTGTATTAAAAAAAAAACATTAAAATACAATGCGTCTTATTTTTACAATATCATATATTCAATATATTGGGACTTCTAAAATATAAAAACTTTAGATTAATGTACTTGTTGATACAAATAAATAAAAAAGGAAGTTGCATTAATCACTACACTATCACTGTTAATTACAGTTATTCATGAGAAAGTTCTCATTTGTTTTCTGAGCATGTTCACGAATTTTGGAGAATATTTCTTAGCCTTGAGAACGAGAATATTTCCCAAAATTGTCGAAAACTTTCTCCAAAATTCTGAAGGCAATTCTACACCTATGTGCTGCTATTTTACTTTTAGTGTTTGTGTGATGCTTTTTATATTTTGTATCTAACATATATTTTGTTTTAAAAAAATTAATTTTGTTGTCAAATACATATATACTCCACGGTCGAAATTATAGAGACTGACTCATCGCTAGCTTTTGGACTAGTAAGGAGGGTGAAGCGTGTGGTGAACGAAAATCCATTGGCGTGTCTGTGTAAAAGGCAACAAGATATAGAGAACATGCAAAAAAGATAATAGAACATCATATCTAATATTTTTGACGGTTTGCTACAACCAGCACTTTGATCCATTTTAATTATTACAAAATGTCCCGATTGTGTTTTTTAATTTATAAATTTATTCTAGCCACGGAATTAGACCCCTCGCCTACACTTATGCTATGGGTTTCTAAGGACGGCTAAGTCAAGTCCGTTTACACTCACTAAAAAAGCATTTCCCTATTCCCTACCAAGTGCAAAAGACAGATAGAATATAGATCGACGTTCTCAAAAACTTAAAATGTCTGTATCTCGAAAACAGTTGAGTTTATCGATTTGTAACAAGTATACCATTTTTAATTAGAATTGAACGCATTTCAATAATTTCTAGTTAAAAAATTCAAAATTGTAAAATATAAAAGGTTAGACATATTTTTACATTGACAGGACAGTACAACTAGTGCCCCCTAGACGTGACCCTGACACTATTTGCATATTCGTATTTGCCACCTCAGAAAACGTAAAACTACAAATTTTCAAAGCAATCGGTCCATATATACTTAAAATATAGATAAAAAAAGAAAATATTTTTTCAACTTTAACTGTAGAACGAAAATGAGCAACAATTGAAAGGCACGTTTGGCTCAATCGCTATATTTTGACGTTAACAATTTGCCATTAAGCTGTGTACCATTATTAATGACTCACCCTGTATAGATTTCTTCTACATAATAAAATGGAAATCAATAAATAAGTATCTCCGAATGTCATTGTAAAACAGTAATATCTTATTTTTATCTTAAAGCATTTTATCGAATCAACATATTCTTAATTTTTACACTAAAAGGTCTCCATCATTTAAATTAATAATGTATAACAAAGAAAACAACTTTATGATAGCCGTTTAATCATTTAGAACAACAACGATCGTCTTTCAGGCCGATAAAGATTCAGCTTCATAAGCTTGGCAGACGATCTTTGTTATATCTTATTAGTAACAGACTATTATTTTCGTGTTTGTTGCTATAAAAAGAAGCATTTCAATTAATTTCATCCTTGCGGATATAAATTTTTTAAATATTTTTTTGCGCTTATGTGGGTAGCAGACGAGTTTTGTTGTGGAATTTAGGTGGAAGACGATATTTTCTAAACTTCTTATGTTTCAACTGATATGTACAATAAGTTTCACGTATGCGGCTATACATTTTTGTTGTTGATTTTTTGCTGTAATTGTAACCCTCCTGTAACCACCTGTTGCGGGGGTTGGTTGCACCGGCAGACGTTCATATTACTATTATACAAGGTGTAACTGAAATAAGTATTCAAAATTTCTGAGCTTGTAAAACAAGTCGAAAAATGACGAAAACTTTAGTACAATTTTTGTCAGTGGCGGCTCCTAAGGGAGCTACGCTCTCCTAAAGGGGTAACCTCGGAAACAGTTTTTAATGCGTAACATCCAAACGGCTCGACATTAAGTCACGAAATTTTGGTGAGATATTAACCTTGACGTGCTTAATAAGTCTCATAAAATACATTTCAAAATTTGCTACAGGGGCGTGAGAAAATGCAGGACCCAGGGACAAATTTAATCATATCTTTTTTGTAGTCAATTTTTTCTAGTTCCTGACTCGAAAATATTGAAATTTGAAGTATTTAACATAAAAAAGGTCCTCTTGTTAAATTTCACTAGGATGTGCCGTTTTCCAGTAAAATCGATTTCAATCATTCCCAACGTGCTCCAAATTCAACTTTCATTACATAGCAAAATAAATTAATTGCAGTGTGCCATGGGGAAAACAACTAGTCTGACAGTTAACAGAAATGTCAAGTATTTTTAGTTTCAAATTTGTCATTTGAGTATTCGCAGTGCCGTTTTATAGTAAATAAAAATATCAAATAATTTAAAAATGCAACAGTATACATTTTCTGAGTATGTAGATATGCTTTTGACGTTAGGTGAATGTCATGGAAGCGCAAGAGCAGCCGCACAACGATACGGTGAAAAGTTCCCCAACAGAAATGTGCCCAATTACAAAACATTTCTTTGCACAGAAAGGCGTTTGCGAGAATGGGGTACGTTAAAAAGGAACAATTTTGAGACAGGCAGGCGTAGAATAATTAGAAATGTCCTGAATGAGGAAAATATTTTTAATTTAGTTGAAGCTAACGCCACACTTAGTACAAGACGACTATCAGTTTAAAATAACATGTCTCATATGACAGTATGGAGGATAATGAGAGAACAAAAATTATATCCCTATCATTATAGACAGGCCCAAGACATTTTACCACAGGACAGGCCCATGCGCAGACAGTTTTGTCAGTTGGTTTTAGACAGGCAAGCCGAAGATCCGATGTTTCTATCGAATATTATTTTTACCGATGAAGCTACCTTTACCCGAAGCGGTGTTTTTAATATGCGCAATGAACATAATATGTGGGCCGAAGAAAATCCTAATGCTCGGAAGGTAACCCATTATCAGCATTCATTAAAAATAAATGTTTGGGCTGCCACATTAGGAAATAATTTATTTGGGTATCACATCATGCCTGGAAATTTAACCGGAGCAATGTACCATCAATTTTTGTCTACTAGATTGTATGAGGATATTCCTTTGGTAAGACGAGGTTCCTTATGGTACATGCATGACGGCGCCCCTCCTCACTTCAACCGTCAATGTCGACAGTGGTTAAACGAGCACTTCCCAAATCGCTGGATTGGCCGAGGAAATGATGCTGCCATATATTGTCCTCCACGGTCACCGGACCTCAACCCAATGGATTTTAACGTGTGGGGTCAAATGAAACAAAAAGTGTGTATCCAAGCTGTTGACAATGAGGAACAGTTACGTCAGCGTATAGAATATGCATTTAATGAACTCAATGTGGAGCACAAACTATACCGGAACCTATTTTTTTTTGAAAACAGGTTACGTGCGTGCATTAGGGCAAACGGCGGACATTTTGAAAGGTGAATCTAGTCTGTCTTCTTGACTAGGGCACATTTTCTGCTAAATAAATTAAGATATTTGGTTCATTTGTTAAATTAAACTAAATGGTTTAAATCTGTTAAAATGTTACGTAAAAGTTTCAGCCGCTTACAATAGTTTAATAAATAATCTCATATGTATCTATTTTTTAGCTTTTATTTATATCACCATATTTTTATTTGTTACTATTAAGAGTGTTAAAAATATTTGACATTTCTGTTAACTGTCAGACTAGTTGTTTTCCCCATGGCACACTGCAATTAATTTATTTTGCTATGTAATGAAAGTTGAATTTGGAGCACGTTGGGAATGATTGAAATCGATTTTACTGGAAAACGGCACATCCTAGTGAAATTTAACAAGAGGACCTTTTTTATGTTAAATACTTCAAATTTCAATATTTTCGAGTCGGGAACTAGAAAAAATAGACTACAAAAAAGATATGATTAAATTTGTCCCTGAGTCCTGCATTTTCTCACGCCCCTGTAGCAAATTTTGAAATGTATTTTATGAGACTCATTAAGCACGTCAAAGTTAATATCTCACCAAAATTTCGTGACTTAATGTCG